TTTGCACTTGGCGTGACGTGATGAGAATTCCACATCCTGCACTTTCCCTTTCCTCGACTAGCTAAGAATTCATGTTACATCCCTAGTCATGGTGCCCTAACGACCTGCAAAAGCCGAGGTGAAGCATTTGAGAACTCGTCCCCAGCAGTCAGCGCGGCCCGGTATGTAGGGTATGTGAAACACCGTGACTTGATGGAAGTATACAGGAACCGACATAGACCCATGGCAAGGCAATAACGTCTTCGCATCACAACATCGCGTGCAAGTGACAGTAAACCGAAGGGCACTGTAGGCGGCAGCATGCAGTTTAGGTTTCGCCGGCTACGTGGCCATGTCAAATTTACAAATGTCCGTAGGCAGGCTCTTGCTAATGCAATGCCAGCCAGATGCGAGGGGGATCTACGAATTGTTCCGGCTGCTCATAAAGAAATACATTGCATTTCGATGTCTACTGGTGAGATTAACAACACAAATTACCAAAGAGAGCCTCATGTCCGGAAAGGATTCTGACGGGTCTAAATCTGACGTTGCGGGGGACACCGCGGGACATCAGTCTCGTCGTTGTGGATGCCTGTAACGGGTGTTGCATGATCCTTGACGAGTTACATAAAACGGTAATGGAAGTACTTAATCTGCCTGTGAACTTGAAATCATCGGAGACCCCACTTAGAACAAGTTAATCAGGAACGTAACTGTTCCTTGTCATGTCAGCACATGAAGTGCCACGGTGCTCCATCTTGCCGCGTCACCCGCGTGGAATATAGGCTGTTGATGCTGTTGTGGAGTAATTCGTGCGTCTAGACTCCTGCTTTATGGTACAACGAATATTTGATCTGACACACCTTCAACTGGTTAATGTGACATATCGTGGCAAGTGCGAGGCGCAATGTGGAGTTGCAGCGGCCGCGTGATATCGCAGCGCCAAGGTACAATCACCAAACGGACGCATCAGGACGACATGCGGGCTTCTTGGCTGCATTTATCTGCGCTTTTGGCACCCCACTGTGATTAATGCGACGGC